CAGGTGACAAAGCTGGGCACGGCCACCCTTGCCCTGTCCTCCCCACCGCCTGCCGCCGGTGTAGCACAAACCTGCGATGCCTGCGACAGCCGTGGGGACCGGGAGTAGCGGCAGAGCCCCTGTGGGGAGAGCAGACGGCACCAGCTCAGTGGCACGTGGGACCCTTGCACAGCTCCGCAGGCACCAGCCGCAGGCAGACACAGTGCCAGGCATGCTCCCACCCGCTCCCCGCCTCAGTGCATGGCTCTCCCGGCCTCTCAGTGCCCCCCTGGAGAGCCAAACCACCTCTGGCACCGTGCATCAGCCCCATCCCTGTCAGCCCCAGTGCTGGCCCTTGCCCGCGCTCCTTCCCCTGTCATGACACCGATGAGCTGCCTGACGCCAGCCTGCATGTCCTGAGCCAGAACCACGGCTGCACCCCCAATTCCCAACCCCGGCTCAGCCATCAGAGCATCAGCTCCCCTGGGTGCTCAGGGTTTCTGCAGGACCCAGCAAGCTCCGTTTGCATCCATCCACCCTTGGATTATTTATACCTCTCCCGGGCGATGGACACATTGGGTTTTGGTAAGGCTGTTTGGGATCCAGAGAGCGACCTCCTGCCTCACCTCTACAGAGCCTGGGGGTGGTGGGTACCCGGGGGGGGGAAGATGCTCTGGAGGGGCCCCCAGCCGCTCGGTGCCAGTGCAGAGCCAGCAGCAGAGCCGGGGGAGGAAAAGCGCTGCAGAGCTATTTCTGCAGCAGAACATCCCCCTGGCTGCTGGAGTCGGCAGCGTGACTAAACCCGGCAGCCCCCGGTGCTGCCTCCTGCGCACTGGGGGGGCCGTGCCCTGGCTGGCTGTCCCGCGGTGCCCCCCAGTCTCCTTCCACCCCCATTTCCAAGCCTTTCACCCCCCTCAGCCTCCTGCATTGCAAATGCGCTTGCTTCCAGTTCCCCAGGTTGCACAGAGCTGGTTGGAGCCGGGATGGGACGTACCTGGATGGCCGGGGTGGCACAGCCGCAGCCCCTGCCCCAGCCTCAGAGCCTCGGGACCACGAGCAGGGAGTGAACAAACTCCCCCTTCTGTGGCCGTGTGGAGCCCCAGCCCTGCTCCAGTCTCCGGGGCCATGAGGATGGGAAGGGGCTTGCGAGGGGGGACACGCACCCACCTCCATCTCGCTGCCCTCCCGCAGGTTGAAGGTCAGGTCCTGGTGGATGTCCGCCGTGAACTTGCTGGCGTACTCGGGGTAGAGTTGCAGCACCTCGCAGAGCCCCCGCAGCCCGATGTACTGCAGGTCACAGTAGGTCAGCGCCTTCACGTCCGCGTTGGTCTTGATCACTTGGTCCGTGCTGCACAGGTCGGCTCCGATCAAATCCCCTTTGCCTGCAGGAGGGGAGCGGGGTGGGCTAGCGCTGCGAGCCCCGGGCCCCTTGCCCAGCCGGGCAGCAGAAGGGGCTGGGGGAGAGCCCATGCTGCCTGCCCTCACCCAGGATGGCCAGGACCACGTTGTCCTTCAGCACCTCGAGGGAGCCGGAGCAGACGAAGTAGTTGGCCTGCAGCGCGTCGCCCTGGCGCAGCAGGTACTCGCCCGGGGCACAGAACGAGGTCTTGATGTGGAGGGAGAGGGAGCCGGTTGGCCGTCTCAAAGACGGGCAGCTGCAGGATCTCCTTGTTGAGGTGCATGGCCACGTCTGCACGCAGCTCATCGGGGAAGTCATGGAGCAGCTGGGGAGAGCGGGGGGCCGCGGTGCTGGGGTGCGGGTGGCAGGGAGAAGCCTTCCCCGCAGCATGCCAGCCCCAGGGCACAGATCCCCTGCCAGAACAGAGCATCTTGCCGCTCAGCTGGCAGAGCCCAGCAGTCCTGGTTGACAAATGTGGGGCAAGCTCTGGCCACGGTGATGGGCTGGCTCTGCTCCACGTGCCTGCCCAGCTCCCCGTGCTGGCAGGAATCTTGCCCCAGTGCCAGCACCCAGCTCTGGTCCCTCCAACAACAGAGCATGGACATGTGCGCGTCTGCACACGCACATACTTGCACACTCATAGCTGGCCCTGCCAGCCCCATCACCCCCATCCCAGGTGCAGGATGGGGGGGCAGAGGGGGGCTGGTTCAGCCTGGCCAAAACCTCCTACCTCGTTAGCATCGATGCCGTTGTTCACTGACCAGGTGGTCTGGAAGTACTCCAGCATCCTCTGCTTGAGCTGCTGGGGCAGGCGGTGGACGCGGATGAAGTCCTTGAGGTCCTTCATGCGGGTGTGGTAGAGTGAACGGCGGGAGTACATGCGCTGGATGATGGCCGTGACGTTGCCGAAGACGACGGCGTGCATCAGCGCTGGGGGCCGGGAGGGCAACATCAGGCCCACCGAGGGGCCAGCTGGGTGGAGGGCTGCAGCATACGGGGGCCTGGGCAAGGTCTGGGCTCTGTCCCTACCAGCAATCTGGGGCCGAGGGGTGCAGCACGGGGGGCTTCTCCCCTCACCCCAGCCCCAGGGCTGTCCCACAAGGCACACGGGTTCATCGCCTCCCCCCAGCGCCCTGTCCTGCCCGGGTACCTGCCGCACCCACTGCTCCAGCAGCCGGAGATGAAGCCCCCCGAGCCCTGCCCCGCTCCCCGCCTCACCCCCGATGAGCATGGTGCAGATGGAGAAGATCTTCTCGGCGTCGGTGGCCCACCGAGGGGCCAGCTGGGTGGAGGGCTGCAGCATACGGGGGCCTGGGCAAGGTCTGGGCTCTGTCCCTACCAGCAATCTGGGGCCGAGGGGTGCAGCACGGGGGGCTTCTCCCCTCACCCCAGCCCCAGGGCTGTCCCACAAGGCACACGGGTTCATCGCCTCCCCCCAGCGCCCTGTCCTGCCCGGGTACCTGCCGCACCCACTGCTCCAGCAGCCGGAGATGAAGCCCCCCGAGCCCTGCCCCGCTCCCCGCCTCACCCCCGATGAGCATGGTGCAGATGGAGAAGATCTTCTCGGCGTCGGTGTTGGCGCAGACGTTGCCGAAGCCCACGCTGGTCAGGCTGCTGAGGGTGAAGTAGAGGGAGGCGATGTAGGCGCTGCGGATGGAGGGGCCCCCCACCGAGTTGTTGATGTAGGGAGCCTCCAGCCTCTTGCCCAGCTCGGGCAGCCAGCCTGCCAAGCACAGCCAGGGGTTAGCGCTTGCCGAGGGGCCCGGTGCTCAGCACAGCTCCCCTCCCTGCTCCGGCCTTGCTTTGTCCCACGGGATTGCCCTCTGCCTGCTCCCGCAGTGGCACGGGGGGAGCCAGGCGTCCTGAGCGTGCCTCCACCCCAGGCAGCCCCCGCAGGCAGGCGGCCCCGCTCACCGATGTCCCAGGTCTGGGGGTCGTTGCTCTCCATCTCCTTGCGGCCGATGACGTACCAGATGCATGCCATCCAGTGGGCCAGCAGGGCAAACATGGACATGAGCAGGGTGAGCACCATGGCGCTGTACTGCGAGTAGCGGTCCAGCTTCTGCAGCAGCCGCAGCAGCCGCAGCAGCCGCACCGTCTTCAGCAGGTGAACCAGCGAGGTCTGGGGAGCGGGGCAGGCAGGTGAGCATGGTGGAGCTGCAAGCAGGGGTGGGAAGGGACCCCCTCTGCCCCCCCACCCCGCAGCAGGGACCCTTCGCTATCCCCCATAGCTGCCAGGAGGGTCGTGGGCTATGGGGCCAGCTGGGAAGGACTCGTCCCCAGGCAGCCTTCTTCTAGCACCCAGCAGACAGCTGGGACCACAGCTTGTCAGGGCACCGCATCACCCCGGGAGATTTGGGGTGCTGGAGAGGGGAGGGAGGTGGCCAGCAGGAGGGGGAAGCAGGCAGCAATGGCTTTGCTCTCAGAGGCTGCATTTGGTGAAGCTAGGCTGGCAGAAGGCTGATCTAATCTATTTGCAAGGGGAAGTCTCAGCAAGACGCTGTGCTTTGCCCGCAGAGATCCTGGACAAAGAGAGCCAGAGATGCCCTGGCTTAGGCAGGTGGGTTTGGACGCGCAGCGATGCCGAGCGCCCCAGGGCTTCCCACCTCGCACAAAGCCTCTGCCTCGTCCTTTGCCTCCTGCCAGCACTGCAGCGGGCAGGGGCTGTGCCAGAGCAAACAGGCAGGGTCAGACCCCACCGAGGCAGGTCAGGATGGACCCGCTCCCTGGGTGGCTCAGCTCCGCTCCCCGCTGCCCAGAGGGTCCCTGCTGGGGCTGCCCATCCCAGCAGCCCTGAGACCTTGGCCCCTTGTCAGCATTTTGCAGGGAAGTGCTTCTTTGTGCCCTTGTACTGCGGTCTCCCATCCCATGGCACTGATGCCCGTGCTCCCCGGCTCGGCCGGCCCCGGCAGAGGCAGCGGCAGTGATGGCCCCTACCGTGGCCGCAGTTATTTTCCTGCTGGGCAGCAGAGCCAGGGCACGAGCGGAGCTGGGTTTGGCTCGGGGATGCAGTTCCCCCCCCCAAGCCCCCTTGCCCTCCCTGCACGCTGCTCTGCCTCCAATAAGCGTAATTACAGCCTCTGCACTCGCCTCCCTCCTCCCCTCCCTGCCCCAATTAGCAGAGGAGGGGAAGGGGCTGGTGCCAGCCGTGCACTTACACAGCCCATCGCACCCACTGCGCTGCGGGGCCCCTGGAGAGCCCGGGAGGGCTCAGGCTGGGACCTGCCTTCGTCACCGGCATGTGCCCTGTGTGCCCGCGTGCGTGGTCACCCCCCTGCCAGAGCGGGCAACGCGCGAGTGCCCCTCGCTGCGATGGCGTGTGCACACCAGGTATTTGCGTGCGTACATGGAGCTGCTCCATGGCCTGGGCAGAGAACAGGAGTGCAGGGTGCTGGGTGCTGGGTGCTGGGTGCAGGGTGCAGGGTGCTGGGTGCAGGGCGGGCGCCTGCCTGCAGCTCCTGGAGCGGTGCCTTGGCAGTTACTGTCATTTGTGGCAGCCTCCGGTTAAATTAAGACGCGTGGGAGGCTTCCCGCTATAGCTGCCGTGGCTGCTTCCCCTCGCTGCCCGCGCTGCTCCCAGACGGGTGTGCAAGGGGCGGATCGCTGCGAAAGGGGCCGCCACCCGCGGCGCCAGGGGCACTTACCACGGTCACGTTGAAGACGTAGAGCAGATCAAAGGGCAGAGCGGCGATCAGATCCACGAAGAACCAGGTGGCCACGTAATGGATGCAGATGGAGCGGGGATCGTACACCACCTGGCCCGACTGGCTGACGTACGTCGTCCGGAAATTCAGGATGATGTCTGCCCCGGGGAGAGCAGGACCAGCTCTCACCGCCCCCACCGCAGCTGGGGGAGCTGGGCCGGGGTCTGCGGCCAACCAAGGTCCCACTCCCGGGATGCTTGGCACCCGCAGCAGGGACAAAGCGATGCCAGCTCCCCTCTCCATCACACCTCGGGTTCGCTCCTCTGGCCGCATCCCTGCCCCATCCAGCCATGTCCCCCATCCCACTTGAGTGCTCGACCCCGGGCACGGACCTACCAAGGATGAAGAGCATCTCCACAGCGATGTCGCTGACGATGGTGCTGCGGGCAGCCGAGAGGCTGTCCTCTGTGCCTGTGAAGCAGACGTTGTAGGGGACGGTGATGGCCACGTAGAAGGTGGCCAACAGGATGAGCCAGTCCCAGAGGGCCTTGAAGATGCTGTAGTGGAGCAGGATGAAGCGGGACTTCTGCACCGAGGCCACTTTGTACTCGGGGATGGACGGCTTGTTCTCAAACACGTTCTGGGGGAACAAGCGGCAGGGAGGCACACGGATGGCACAAGGGCCGTCCCACACGAGGGGGTGGAGGCCACCGGCAGCCTCCTGAGTCCCACCAGCCTGGGGGCAATGGACACACATTTCCAACAGGGCACGTGGGCTGCACTGAGGTCACCCTCAGAGACGGGCACAGAATGCCCGATTACAGCACATAAATTAACGCTACGCTAATGCTATTAGCAGTAATCCAGTGGCACTGCCAGCTGCTGCCCAGAACTGTCCCCGGTGCCCATTCGCATGCTGGGGCAGAGCCACCCGCACCTTCGTCAGGGACATTGCTCAGCCTGGGCGAGGGGAGAGCTGGGCCTGTCCCCCCCCAGGTCCCCCTGATTCAAGGCTGGCATATTGAAACCCTTTGCCTGCTTGCCAGCTCTGGGCCCCCGGATGCTCTTGGCCAGGGACAGACCCCCCCCCGCCACCCCGG